AAAAAAAAATCATTGAAAATTCCACCTATCAGAAACAAACATTATTAAAATGTTTTTTTTTTTTCTTTCTTTCTTTTTTTTTTTTTTTTTGGTAGAGATGAAGTTCTTGCTATGTTGCCCAGGCTGATTTCTAAGTCCTAGCCTCAAGCAATCTCCCACCTTGGCCTCCAAAGTGCTCAGATTATAGATAGGCGTGAGCTACTATGCCCAAGCAGCTATTAAAGTTGTTGATTAATGCTATTCTACATATTTCTCTGCATGTATATGCTCCTACAGATACACTCAATTTTACATAAATGGCTCATACTCTAAATGCTGTATCAAAATCTGCTTTTGGCGCACATGTTCTCAGGATCTCCTGAGGGCTGTATCAAAGGAAATAAAAAAGAAAGAAAAGAAAAACTTGCTTTCTGTCACTCATCCACAAGCCTTATGTTTTGAGTTTCCTGTGGAATAAAGAAATAAATTGCATGTAACAATCTGGAACTAAAAACACAGATATAGGCCGGGCGCGGTGGCTCACGCCCGTAATCCCAGCACTTTGGGAGGCTGAGGTGGGAGGATCGCAAGGTCAAGACATCGAGACCATCCTGGCCAATATGGCGAAACCCCATCTGTACTAAAAATACAAAAATTAGCTGGGTGTGTTAGGGTGGGGGGAGGCTGAGGCAAGATAATCACTTGAACCTGGGAGGCAGAGGTTGCTGTGACCCAAGATCATGCCACTGCACTCCAGCCTGGTGACAAAGTGAGACTCCATCTCAAAAAAAAAAAAAAGAGAGAGAGATGGTTTTGGGATCACCATCAGAGAGCTGGTCACCAAAGCCTCGGGAGACAGAGGATCCTAGCAGGCAGAGGGTGGAAGACAGAGGCAAGTGCCAACCACAGAGTCCCAGAAATGCAAACAGTGATGGTGGGAAGAGCAAAAGCACAGGAATTCTTGGCCTTTAAGAGAAGAGTGGCCAACAGCATAGATGGCCACTATCGGGTCAAATAAGATAAGGGCTTTGGATGTGGCAATAAAGTGGTAGCTAGTGGCCTGGAAAAGAGTGATTTTAGTCAAGTGGTAGTGTGGGAGCCAAACTGTAAAGGAGTTAAACAGATCATGGAAGGCTGGGTGTGGTGGCTCATGCCTGTAATCCCAGCACTTTGGGAGGCCAAGGCAGGCAGATCACAAGGTCAGGCATTCGAAATCAGCCTGGCCAACATGGTGAAACCCTCTCTCCACTAAAAATACAAAAATTAGCTCGGCACGATGGTGCACGCCTGTAATCCCAGCTACTCGGGAGGCTGACATAGGAGAATCACTTGAATCTGGGAGGCGGAGGTTGTGGTGAGCTGAGATCACACCACTGCACTCCAGCCTGGGTGACAGAGCGAGACTCCATCTCAAAAAAAAAAAAGATAATGGAAGTAGTCTGCCTGCTCACACCACCGCTACTCCACTCCCCCTTCCTCACAGCTCTGAAACTCCAACATGCATATGAATTACCTGGGCATAATGTTATCAAGTAGATCTGATTTAGTAGGTCTGAGTGGGGCCTGAGCTATGTTTGCAGCTCAGCCCTGATAAGCTCCCCTGGGGTGTTACCAAAGATACTCAGGTGTAGATGAAAATGAGTTCTTGGGGTCCTACATTCACATCAGAAAAACACTGAAAAGGAACACTAAAGCAAACTTCTCATCTGTCTGGTTCTTTCCTGCATGTATGTGCCTCACTCATGAAAATCCCTACATTTGGGTCATTTAAAAGTTTACTTTTTGTTTTTTTGAGACAGAATCTTGCTGTATTGCCCAGGCTTACTGCAATCTCTATCTCCCAGGTTCAAGCGATTCTCCTGCCTCAGCCTCCCGAGTAGCTGGGATTACAGGAGCCCGCCACCATGCCCAGCTAATTTTTGTATTTTTTGTAGAAATGGGATTTCACCATATTGGCCAGGATGGTCTTGAACTCTTGAGCTCAAGTGATCCTCCTGCATTGGCCTCTCAAAGTGCTAGGATTATAGGAGTGAGCCACTGTCCCTAGCCTAAAAGTTTCTTAAATCTCAAATGTATGAGACTTTTCTAGTTAACTTGTTATTTTTCTACTTTAATTGCAATAGGTCCAAGAATACACTAACGTTAAAGTCTTTTAAAACTTGTTGAGTTTTGCCTGTGGCTAAGAACATGGTCAGTTTTTGTAAATGTTCCATGAGTGCTTGAGGATAACATATTCTACAACTGTTGGGTGCAGTGTTTTGTCTATTAGATCAGATCTGTTAATCAGGTTGACAGGTCTTCAGATTCTATTGATTACTAAAAGGAGATGTGTAAAAATCTCCAGTCTCCCTACCAGGAAAGGCTTTCCTCCTCACCTCAGTCCACCTTATTCATGATAAGCAAAATATTTGCAGACCCAGCCCTTACCCTAATGGAACTGACAACCTAAGAAGATTTTCCAGGCTGGGTGCAGTGGCTCACACCTGTAATCCCAGTATTTTGGGAAGCTAAGGCAGGCAGATCACAAGGTCAGGAGTTTGAGACTAGCCTGGCCAACGTAATGAAACCCCATCTCTACTAAAAATACAAAAATTAGCTGAGCATGGTGGTGCGTGCCTGTAGTCCTAGCTACTCGGGAGGCTGAGGCAGGAGAATCACTTGAACCCAGTAGGCAGAGGTTGCAGTGAGCTGAGATCGTGCCACTATACTCCAGCCTGGCAACAGAGCGAGACTCCATCTCTAAATAAATAAATAAATAAATAAACAAATAAATAAGACTTTCCTGATCACCAACACATCCCCAACCCTACCTCATACCTGGCACTCCTTCTCCCTCCTCAGTTCTTATAGCATTCACTGCTTGTACAAACAATTTGACACTTACATAATCTGTCTTTATCACAATTATTTGAGTTGATAATTTACTCCTGTAAGATTTTAAATTTCATGTGGGTAAAGACCATCTTATTTTTCTTTTATAACAGTTTTATTGAAATATAATTATTGACATACCATAAAATTCACTCTTTAAAAGCATACAATTCAGTGGGAGACTATCTTATATATTCTGGCATTGTCTATAGCTGTGATTCCCGGTCTTGGGTGCACATTGGAATTACCAGAAGAGCTTTGAAAAATCCTTCAGTCTGGCCGGGTGCGGTAGCTCACACCTGTAATCCCAGCACTTTGGGAGGCCAAGGCGGGTGGATTACCTGAGGTCAGATGTTCAAGACCAGCCTAACATGGCGAAACCCCGTCTCTACTAAAAATATAAAAATTAGCCAGGTGTAATGGCAGGCACCTGTAATCCCAGCTACTCAGGAGACAGGCAGGAGAATCGCTTGAACTCAGGAGGCGGAGGTTGCAGTGAGCTGAGATGGAGCCACGGAGGTTGCAGTGAGCTGAGATGGAGCCAGTGCACTCCAGCCTGGGCAACAGAGCAAGACTTTGTCCCCTGAAAAAAAAAAAATCCTTCAGTCTGGATCTCACCTCCAGAGGTTCTGGCTTAACTGGTTTGGGGTGTGGCCTGGGAATGGGAATTTTTTAAAGCCCCTAGGGTGATTTTAACCTGGAGCCGGGATTGTCCCAGAATGCTCTGTACATAGCAGGCACCCAACAACAGTTTGTTGTAACTCACTCAAGAGTGGCCGTCTGTCATCAGCCCCTATCACGTAATGGTCTGCTTATGTCTGTCTCCCCAACTCAGCAGGAAAGGAACACTATGAGACAAAAGCACGTAGAAAACGTAAGTTCACTTGCAAAGATGTGCCCACTTCAGTAGGACTGGATCATTAAATAAGAAATACAACAGATATTAAAGGAAAAAATGCAAAGGAAAAATTACCACATTTACATTTGTCTTTTCAGCATGGATGACATGCTCACATTGAGGAATGTATGTCACAAGAATTGTGTGTGACATGTCCCCAAATTTCCACATTCAAAAGTCAGGGATAATATGATTTTCATCCAGGAATCAGTAACTCATGGGAAAAGCTCAGGATGTCATTCATTTTGGAGATCAGATGTAAAGGAGTAGTATGGGTACTTTGTCTCAGGGTGGAAAGTGTCTTTTTTTTTTTCTTCCCATGGGACTTGTTGCACACTCTTAAAATGGCGGCAGGGCAGTCAGGTTTGCTTGCATAGCTGTGAGCTGCACGAAGGCAGGGATCGCTCTGGTCTTATCCGCTATGGCATCCCCTTGTGGCACATGTTAGGTGTTCAATAAATATTGGTGGAATGGATGTGACTACACTTCACGCCACAGTATTTAAATATGATTTTAACTGGATAGGGAGCTGCACAACTTTCCCATATTGATCCTTTTTGCAATCTTAATTATGGTACTCTGAGCTGGGATATTGCCTAAACTACCTGGGCTACACAACAAACTATGAAGGGGCTTTTACTTCCAAGTCCACGGTGGTTGAGGGTTCGGGTTCTGTGAATGGCTGGAAGCTCACGTGAGTAGCGGAGTATCGAGGATGGTCACTCCTGGATAAATGAATACAGGATTCTCGCGGCTATGAGCGGTCGCCCGGCGAGGTCGGTCATTCTGCCTGTCCGGTAACTCCACGAAACACCTGCCACTGACACCTCTCCACCAGCTCCCGAGGGTTCGCGCGGGTATCCGGAGCCGCGCCCCCTGGTCCGCCGCAGCCGGATTCCCTCCTGGCGGGTTACGCCCCAAGGCGCAAAGCGGAACCACTCTGCATCAAGACGACAAAGTAAAACCGGCCACACCAAAGACAGGCAGCGTTTAGACAGCCAGCTACTCCCCCAGAGCTTCCACCCAGTCCCCTGGGCCCGATGCCCAGCGCGCAGACGGTGGCCGGCTCCAGGAGCTCCAGCTCCCTCCACGTGTCCTGTCTTCCCAGCAGCCTCCTCTTCAGCCACGGGAGGAAAACCTCCTGACAACTCGCGGTCTGCGGACTACGACTCCCAGGAGGCGCCGCGCTGCGGCTCTCCCCGCGGCCCCCGCCTCCCCGGGATACGCAGGCGCCCTGGGCTCCATCAACAAGCCGGGCTGGCGTCGCCTGGATGTAGTTTATTCCGGGATTTGTAGTTTTTCTGGAGCTACCTGGGCCGTCCGTCAGAGGGACAAGAACTACAAGTCTCGGCGGCCCCAGCGCTACGAGCCCGATCACGTGGCGAGGGCCGACCGGGCGTGCGTGCCGCCGTTGATCCGGTGCTGCAGTGAGGAGGTGGTTCTTGCCCGTGTTGTGTGTGTGTGTGTGTGTGTGTGAGTGAGAGAGAGAGTGAGTGAGTGAGTGAGTGTGTGTGTGGGGGGGACTCGGCTTGTTGTTGTCGGTGACTTCCCCCTCCCCTCCACCCCTTCCCCTCCCTGCCGCCGCTGCAGTGGCCGCTCCCTGGGCCGTAGGAAATGAGCGATAACGATGACATCGAGGTGGAGAGCGACGTGAGTCCTGGGGCTTCTTCCTTCCAGTGCGGGTTGTCAGGCGGGGACAGCGGCCGGGACTCTCAGCGGGGCGACGGCGGGAGGGGACCGGGCCGCCGCCGCCTCCTTCCCCTTCCCCTTGGGGCCAGGACTGTCTCCGTCACGTTCCCGGTTCGCTCCCCTCCGGCTCCTGGCTGGAGCGGCCTCCTGGGACTGGAGGTGGGGGGAAGACACGCGGTCTCTGGGACCCCCACCTTCTCCGGCGAGGAAGGGTGCTGCGGCCTCCCCTTCCCACCTTCCCCCGCTGAGGATTCGGGGGACAAAGATGGGGGGCGCCCGGGATCCCATTGTCCGGATCCAGGGGAAGGGGACTGCGCTCAGGACTTGCCCCTTCGGATTGCGATTCTCTCCTCCCATGACCCGCGGATTCTGGGGGGCGAGGAAGGGCGGAGAGGGGTTGAGGGTGCCTAGATGCCCGAGCTGGGTCTGCAGGGAAGAGACAGTGCTCGGGACCCCTCTGGCCCTGGTCGGATCCCGGAAGGAGGGGCGGCGCTCGGGACCCCTTTACCTTGCTACCGGATCCCGCTGAGGGTGGAAGGGTGGGGGCAAGGGGTGGGGAGGGAGGAAGGGGTGTCGGGCTGACTCCCCACCCGCCGCTTCCTCTGCCGCCGGCATTTTCTTTCTTATTATTGAATGTTAAGTGTAAAAATAACTTCTATATTTTCTATTTTTTTTTTTCTCTCTTATTCCAGGAAGAGCAACCGAGGTTTCAATCTGCGGTACGTCTCCTACTCTCCATTTCATTTTTATTTCCGTTCAGTTCTATTCCTTTTTGGGGTCAGAGAGAAAAAGAGATCATTCTATTACTTTTAATATTGTAGTAAACCCTAATGTTAACCATTAAGGTGAGGAGGGGCCTGGTTCTGGAGGGTGGGGGTGTTGCAGATCCCATAATTCTAGATGCTCAGGTGATAAGTTCAGTGACTCTAGGTGAGTGAGAGGAGCTGTATGCAAAGAATTGAATTGTTATGTAGTTTTCAGATAGGGGATTCAGCTGCCACTATATAAGTGGAAATGAGAAATGCAGCATTTTGAAGTCATTGGTAGTAGTATTTAAGGGCAAAGTGGTTAGAGAAGATTTACTTAGAACCAGGTAGGTTTTAAACCATATCTGCATAATTGTGTGAGGCTGGAGCCACATGTAATAATCGCCTTTAACCAAATCATGTGACTGCTGTAGACCCGTAGAATCTAGCACAACATGGTATTCTAATGCAAAAATCGGAAATGTAGAAAAGCCAAATGTTGCATCATGAGAGTGTCACATACAGTTGTTATGGTCTGACTCTGTATTTGAAGAAGAGGTATAAAGAAAACTAAAAAATAGTTGAAGAAAAGCGGCACTGCAGAGACAGCTTTGCTGAAAGGTGACGGATGAGACCATGTATTTTTATCAATAATTTCTTAGGGTTTTGATATTAATGTTCTCAGTAGTTGGTTCTGTGGATTTAGATAAGCACTAATTTCATGTCTTTGGAGTGTGAGACAGTAATATGGGTGTTTCATGAATAGATTAGAGGGAAAAAAAGAATACACATAGAATAAATCAGAATCAGAGAGGGGAAGAGAAGTGTATCAGAGTGTCTAAAATTTGACAGTTGGGAACAGTAAGAAGTGTATAGAATAGGGGTAAGAAATTCGAATGCTCATGGGGGGCCGTCAAGAATAAAGAAGAGGGAAGAGGTGAGGACTTGGGGTACTGGAGGGCAATGCCTCCTCTAAAAAGTCAGCCACTACTAAATTCCAGTGGTTTGTTACCTAGGAGTGAAGGATCAGTATTGCCAGATCTTCCTGTTTTTTTAAGAAAGATGGCCAGGCGTGGTGGCTCACACCTGTAATCCCAGCACTTTGGGAGGCCAAGGTGGGAGGATCACCTGAAGTCAGGAGTTCAAGCCCATCCTGGTGAACATGGTGAAATCCCTGTCTTTACTAAAAATACAAAAAATTAGCCAGGCATGGTGGCAGGCGCCTGTAATCCCAGCTGCTCTGGAGGCTGAGGCAGGAGAGTTGCTTGAACCCAGGAGGCAAAGGTGACAATGAGCCATTGCACTCTAGCCCGGGAGACAGAGCAAGACTCCATCTCAAAAAAAAAGTGAGAAAGAAAGAAATCCAAAACTTTATATGTTATTTTTCTGATTTTTAAAATGTTGTGTGGAACAACTCTTTGGGAGCTTGTTAGAATTTGTAGGATGTCACTTTGATACCTCTGGTATAAGAACTTAACAACCACAGGATAAAGGCAAGCCATCTCAGTTGTACCTGCTCTTCATTAGAGCAGGCAAAGATTGTACAGGTTGTCTAAGCAGATAAGTATTAAGAAAACTTACTTATTGAGAGCTGATATTTCCATAAAATCTGGGGATGTAGTTGTTCCAGAAGTCTTAAAAATTATCCCTGGATAATAGTCATTAAAAATAATTTGTTTTATTTATCTTTGAAGTATTCTCATATACATATATTTGAAAATCGAATTCCTTTTTTTCATTTACTTTTATTCTTCATGTTTGGGGCCTAGTCTGTTTAAAGCTTTTTTTTTTTTTTCCCTGCAAGTCTCCAGTTGTAAAATCTGCCAGGGCTTAATCAGGGTTGGAGGGTAAGAATCATTTAGGCTTCCTTTGCAGTGGGTTCTTTTTTTTTTTTTCTTTTCTTTTTTTTTTTTTTTTGTGACATTTTGGTTCACAGTTCTTGAAAGCTTCTGCTTTTCAAAATATTTGTCCACATGAGTGTTGATGTACATTTGTTTATTAAATTATTGCTGTGTTTCCGCTTTCCTGGAATGCTAATCTCATTGTTTGTCTAGATATTTTTAGTTTGCTATTAAGGTGCCTAGAATTTTTCCTTTTGATTTTGGGGGTAGGCAAGGGAAGTTGGTTTGACACTTTGTTTTTAATTTAACACATCTATTTATTGAGATTTCTAAGTATTATCCCACACAGTATAATTACAACAGCATGGAGAGAAAAAGCAGATGTGTTAGACAAATTTTATATCAAACAACTATTGTGAATGTGTAGAGTAAAAAGGATTCCATTTTTCCCCCTCTGTGAATGCATCTGCTTACTTCTCAAGATTTAATAATAGATAATAAATATATATTTTTTTAATTTGGGAGAAAGCCATTCTTAAGTTTTGCCTTAGAAAAAAGGTTTAAAAAAAGATGTGGACTGTAAACAACCAAATGCTTACGTGTTTAGAACTACAGAAGAAGTTGAAAAAAGTTATTTGAAAAAGGTTCTGTGGATCCTAATGTAAAAACATTCGTGTGTGTTTTCTAATGTCGCTACAATATCTAGGCCTTACTGCATGAGAAATGTAAGATACTGAGAACAGTTAGGAAGTTAGGCTAACTCTAACAGAAAGTGAAACTGATTTGGCAAATATTTTTTTATGTAGCTTCAGTACAAACGGAAAACAGCTTCTCCAGTAACCAGTAAGCTTTGTTAAAGGAAGTAATCCCAGAGAATATTCTTATTACTAAATTCAACACATTGCAGAATCCCACTGATGTTATCTTATTTTTATTATATTTTGGAGGGAAATAGTTGTTTTTTAAAGATAAATTTCTGGGGCAGGTATATTATATGCAAGGACTTCCTTTTGCTTTATTTCTGTTTGGGAAATTTCTTTAGGAAAGAGTGAAAGTATACAAGAAATGTATGGGTTAGTGTGTTGGTCAGGAAATGCAAGTTTTTTTTTCCAATCTCCGCCGTCCTTCATGGCATCTGAATGAGTTGCACTTGCGATATACCTATTGGGTTTGAAAACAGATCTGTGCAATTTCACTTCTGGACCTTTCCGGTATGAAATATGTTTAACTTCGTAGAGCTCTTTGCTTCTTTGGGAATTCAGAAGAGAACGAGCTTGGTCTCCTCTGAGATTGGAATTCACTCAGGAAACTTCTGTCTGTTTTACCTGCAGTCAGTTGCATGGCAAAAGTGCTGCACGATGCATGTACTTTTTCTCTGCTTAGAGTGTTGACAGTGATAACAGAAATGCCGAAGTTAGTTCCTAAACGTGCCTGTGTTAGAGTAAAACTTGTTCTTATGTCTAAAAGAATTTTTTCAAGATGCCAGTAATGGTGAAATAGTTGGTCAAATAATTCAACTTGGTTTTTAATTAAAATTTCCTGACCAAGGCATCCTTCTCTGAAATAGCTGTAGTATGAGGCCCTGTTTGGATAATAGTATTCCACAGTTCTTTTAGGCACCAAATGAAAAAAGTTTTGAGAACAAATATATACATTAGATAATGTTGGAAATATATACCAGGTAATCAACTACAAGCGGGACAGGTATTGGAAAATTAAAATTGATGTCTTTCTGTTAGGGAGCTTGGTGAGTTATCCCATTCTGGCTGCCCATTATTTTATAATTTTTTGGGTTGATTAAAATGAATCTTTTAAGTTGCTTAGAAATCGAACTTTATCCTGTCTGATCCTTATCTATCAGAAGTAAGAAATAGATCTTTTCTGATGAGAATTTTGGGCCTGTTCATTCTCAAGTGTCCTTAGTCTCTAATGAGAATAGCTTGATAGGAATCATGAGCAATACTAGCTTCCCTCTAAAATACAACCTTCACATTTTGTAAATATAGTAAATATTTAGTGGGCAACTAATTCTCTACATGCTGAGAATTTTCCATATTAGAATTGAGATGATTCCCCTTATAGGTGGGGTTAGCTGTCAGGTAGCCTGCAAGACATAGCATTGTTCTGGAGAACCTTGTGCATCCTGGAATAATGAGCCATTTATTTCCCCATGCTGATTGCCTAGAACTTGGAGGAAATAAGTTTACTGACTGATGTGATGCCTTGAACAAAGATGCAGTCTCTGTGCAGTAAGTTGGAAGGAAATAATTTTAAGAGATTTCCCTCAATTTTGAATAGACCTCCTTAGCTTAGATGACTTCTTGCCAGTGTAACGACTTCTTGGCTGGCAAAATAATGTTTGCCTTCAACATCTAACAACACTTAAGATACAGGTGCTTGGTAGTGTCAAAGGTGGACAAATTGCAGGTGAAGATTTTTATTCTGGCTACCACTGTGGAAAGTTGGATAGAAATACAACGGAGAGGCTAAATAAAAACCTTGGCAGAGATGTCAAAGCTGGAAGTGATTTGGTGTGGGAGTTTCTGTTGAGCATCTGTGGACCACTGTATAGCCCCTTAGTGTTTCTGTTAGGGATGCCCTGGAGGAAGGGTTTTCTGGCAGAAGTCCATATGTACAAATCCTGTATACTTGAAGAGCGGGCAGCATCTAGCCACTGTTCCCACAGGATGTGTAGGGGAGCCTGCTGTATAGTCTAGGAATTTCTCTGTTGTCTCCTAGAATAGGGCCTAATTAATTCCACAAGGGGGCTTTCTGTACCATTCGTTTTTATTATTAAACATCATTCTAAGTAAAGGCTCATCTAAGTAGAGTTTTTTTTGTTCAAGACAATTGTTTGGCCCTGTTTTTTAAAACCAGTTTTGCATTTGTGGGAGGATATTAGATGCCTTACACTTGGAGTCTTCACCCTGTTTTTCTTCTTCAACTCTGAAATCTTGGCCCTCTCAAAAAGGGTTGCCAGCAAGAGGAGACAGTTAACAAGGCAGTGATAAAGGCTGCAAACCAGCCCTCCAGTGGGGGTGGGGATGAGGTGCAGGCAGTGTTACCCGGCTGGGTGGATCTGTGGTTTGGAAATGTTTTCCAAAGAGTATTCTCAGCCTTGTGTAAAGGTTTTTTGGTTTTTTATGTGCTCTTTCAAAACACTAGTGATATCATTTAATTCAGATTTGCCTGGAATTAGGCTTGTCAGTTGTGCATGTTTTTAACTTGTTCTTTTAAACCAGGCTTGGGGAAGAGAAAATATATCCTTGCCATTGTCTCTGAGAGGTTTAAAATTGACTCCAGTAGTAGCTCAGGGATGGACATGGCAGCAGGGATTGGTCTAAGATTCCACTCTTCTACTAGTTAAATTGGGCCTGGAACCACTACAGAAATTCCATCCACTACTTTGAGAACAACAGTCCCTAGCCCAGGCTTTCTACCAGGCAGTGAACTGCTGCCTTTCCTTGTTGAGCCAACTTCTCAAACTTGGCTGGCTCCTCAGATGAGAAGCCAAGATTTCTGCTCATGGTCTACAGCCAAGTTCACTTACAATCCTCTGACCGAGAGACTTGTCCATTTGAGTCCTTTCAGAGTTCAGTGAATGGGAGGTGGGGTAGTGCACTGTGGGGATGATTTTAGTGTTAGATTATACTTAGCTCCACCCCTCTAGTGCAGGTCCATGTGAAACCAAGTGCAACTTCATTCTAGCTACTTGAGATTTGCAGGGCTCTCCCAGAAAGAAAACAGACAATTAGAATTTTATTTGTATCAACAAGAGGGATTATGGGTAATTCTGGTGCACAGCTCTTAGCTGGGAGGAGGGCCAAGAATCAGGGTGATTTAGACAGGAGTATCTTGGGCTGCTCTGGAGACCAAAGATGGGTGATTAATTTGCATGTAAATAAACCACCTTAGGTAGTATATAGCAAACAGGAGTGGCAGACACATGCCAAATACTGTCTCTTGGCCTTTAAGCTCCTTAGGTATAGTCCCAGCCCAACTTACCTTTATGTAAATGATCAGAGGGAACAACAGTAAGTTCAAAAGGACTAGATACTTAAATATGTTTAATTCTGTCGAGCTATTTCACGCTACTGTTAGAAGGCATCTACAATTTTGCTATAAAGTTGTATGATACAGAGTACTTACCTCTAGCCTCAGGTTACCTGGTGTTCCAAGCTTGACCGTCCTCTCAGTTTCTCCATAATATTCCATATGTCACTATAGTTCAGTAAACATTCCATTTACAGTGAATCCAGACTTAACAAGATTAGGACAGCTTTAGAAGTGCTCCAGGCATATGCCCCAAAAAGAGAAATCTGCTACAGAGAACCATGGTTGTCATGGGAACCACATGTCCAGTTCAACAGAGCTGTAGGTGAGGTATTATGCTTAAGAGACCAGGAAGTAACTCAGATGACCTCAGGAGCTCCCAGCCTCCTCCTCCTTCGTCATGACTAGGACTTTCAGGATGAAATAATAGGAGAATTTCAAATCCTTTCATTCTCACAACTCTTGATAGTAGATTTTTGTCTGTACATCTTTGTCTAGTACAAGGATTCATATGAGGCAGCATTATTCTTGTGCTAAGCCAAGTTATTTACTCTTGTTCCATTTTTTAAATTTCTGGCCCTCTCTCTGGGTAGAGTTAAACTACCTGAACTTCTCATATACAGACTTGCTCTCTAGGTTAGCTGAGTGGAGTCTTGTGTGTTCAAGGTGAATATTCAGAGTATAATTTCCATAATTCCCAGAGTGTAGGTGTGATGAAGTTCTACTTGCTTCAGGTTGCTTGTGTTCCATTTGGAGGGGATACCGCTCTGATGGGACCTACTGAAGTGCTCTTACCATGCTCTCTAGCACTATCTCTTCTGCTTGAAGCCAGAGCATTTTGCCATTCCTGATTTCATGTTGGCAGTTTTGGTCCATTTCCAGCTGACTGTTCTTTGTGATTCCAAACAAACTAAGACTTTGACTTGGATATTTAGATCCCGACAAATTAGCCTGACCTGCCACAGGTGCCTGAGGGAATTTATTCTGAGCTTGTGGGTGTCAGAAGGTGTGCCCTCTAAAAACTGCCTGTCTGGCACTGCCTGTGTGTATGTGGGGGGGTCCTATGCTTGGCAGGATAGCACCTTGGATCTACTTAAAAAAAACAGGAACTCAGAATGCAGTTGTCATCTCCATCAGCTCTGTCATGATGATATCAGATTCATGCATCTAGGTTTTACAGAGGTTTTAGTTTCTATTGTATGATTTGGTGAGAAGGTCTTAAACTAGTGCCTTTTAGTGTGCTCGGGACTCACGGTGATGGTTTCACATGAAGGAAGCACCAATGACTTAACTCTTCCTTCCCCTGGACACCCATCTGGCAAATCTCTTACAGTGGGAGTGATCACATCTTAAGAAGGGGCCCACTGGAGCTTTCCCTAGTCACTTCCTCACCACAGACTGGTGGCTGTTCTGTCACATAAGGAAGTTGGGGGGGACCACTGATGTTACAGGAGAGTCACACTTTGTCCCCCTGAATAACTTTTATTTTACTTATGCATGAGCTGGATGCATCGAGCTACTTTGGATGTTCCTGTCGCAAGCCTTGCTCACCCCTTTCTCCCCCTTTAGCAGAGCCTAATTCTGGAGACTCCTAACTGCCCACCTCGAGAAATCCTTCCCAGTCCACTCACCAGGGACAGTGCTGACAGCGTGTACCTCCAGGCTGTACCCCACCCACCTTGTACCAAGCAAAAGGAGTGATATTCCTAATGTGTTCTTTTTCCAATTCTTCTAGGCTGACAAACGGGCTCATCATAATGCACTGGAACGAAAACGTAGGGACCACATCAAAGACAGCTTTCACAGTTTGCGGGACTCAGTCCCATCACTCCAAGGAGAGAAGGTGAGTTTCTTGAGAAAGCTGAGTCGCTGGCCACTATTAGCTTGGAGCTTGTTGTGGAGCTTAGCAGAGCACTCATCTACTGGGAAGGAAATGTAGTCAGAGATATTCAGGTAGCATGGTTCCCTAATTTTTTGACTCAAGTTTGGAGGACCGCCGCATGCTTTACCTACTCCAGTTTATCCTTAACAAAATATGCCAGATATAATGGAGCTATTTGTAAGATATCTGTAGGAGTCATCTTTCAAAATTTGTATTATTTGTAATAAATTGAAGAAATTATACACTATAGTATAAAGGGTGGCTCAGTGTTCATTCGGGATAACAGTAAAGATTCCAGAGGTCACTAATACCCTAGACCTCCATGAGAATTTCTTTCCTATGGTTCAGAGTTAATACTTACTGTAAGTGAGCATTTATAGTAAGTAGCATCCAGGAAGGTATGTAATGTATGTGAAAAACAGCCTGGGCATCGTTGATTTTCTGGCCCCAGTAATTGTTATTTCCAGGGCGTAAAAAGAACATTTTAAGCTGTGGGACAAGAGACTTGAGTGAATAGACATGTTCATGTGAAATAGAAAAAAATAACCACTCTTCCCCCCTCCCTTCTGGAAACTAGCATTTTCCCTGGAGGGCTAGGCACCAGCTGTTTCTACATTTGAAAAACAAAATTAGAAGCTTTGAGTAAAAGCCTATGGGTTAGGGTCACTCCCTGGAATTTGGAGAAAACATCTGCACAGTTCCATTCTTGACAGAGTGTAGTTGTCTGCAGCACTTCAGTGGAATAACTGGCAAGCTGGGAAGAGGACCTGTGTTTTTGCTTTAGTGATCCAGTGTTTTATAAAGAAGGAACTATTCTGTTAAGAACGGTCTGCGTTTGGGTGTGCTTTGATTTAGTTCTCTGGTGGGGGTCCTGGATTTGTTTGGTTATCCAAGATGAAATTTGGAACTCTTATGCTTTCATTTTTTTATATCGTCACTGTGATAAGTCATATGCTTTATACTTTATCTAAGGTGTGGTTTTCCATGTGGTGGAAACATGGAGAAGGGCTGACCTTTATAAAGACAGGCCATATGCATACTTGGTATTGCAAAATCAGAATTTGCTGTGGGTTAAGCCTACTTAGTGTGGACTTGATTTAATGACCTTAAACCAAGGCACTTACCTGGAATAACAACCTTCCTGGGTACAACACTAAGTAGCACAGAAATCTTTATGACTATAGACAGAGACTCACCCCCTTAGTCAAAGTGAACACATGCAAAAGATTATCTCTTATGCCTGTTTGACCTGTTGACAGTTGGTGCTTATTCCTGTACCACAGTATCAATTAAAATTGCTTTGGTAAACTATATGGACAAGAGCTACCTTCTTCTAAGTCTCACATCCAACCAGGAGTGGCACTGGGCAGTGTTTCTCAAGGGGTGAGTTGCGGACCTCCCACAGCATATTCACTACTGAATCAGCCTTTCTGGAGGGAAGCCTGGGAATCTGTATTTGTAACAAGCAGTCACATGATTCTTAGGCATTCTTAAGTTTGAATACATTGGGAGAGGTGGGTCGTAGGATCACAACTATGCCTTTTCCTTATCTAGCCTATTTTACATTGCCGTAACTTTTTTCCTTAAGTCCTTATAATTACGTTATTCTAAATCCTGTTTTCTCCTTTCTTCAAGGAAGTTGAATGTTTGAATTTGGTAGTCTTACAAGTGAAATAATTTGTCATTTGTTGTGGCTTACTCATTTATTTACTTATTCATGCCATTCAACACATATTTACTGAGGGTCTACTACATGCCAGGCACTATTCTAGATACTGGGAATACAGCAGTAAACAAAACAGACAATAACAGGAGCTCTTGCTCTGATGAGGAAATGATAAAAAAAAAAATGAAGTAAGAATTAAAAATAAAAAATATATGGCCGTTTGTGGTGGCTCACACCTATAACCCCAGCACTTTGGGAGGCTGAGGTGAGGGAATCACCTGAGGTCAGGAGTTTGAGACCAGCCTGACCAACATGGAGAAACCCCGTCTCTACTAAAAATACAAAAAATTAGCCGGGCGTGGTCACGCATGCCTGTAATCTCAGCTATTCCAGGAGGCAGAGGTTGCAGTGAGCTGAGATCGTACCATTGTACTCC